GCCAAGGGGACGCACTGCCCGCTGACACTGACCTGGACGGACGACACCAGCCAGACTGACAACAACTCCAGGAAGGTGGAGGTTTCGGTGTTCGGAAGCGGGCAGGAGTTCTACCTGAACGATGTACGAACCGTTACACTGGATCTACCCAAGCAAGACCTCGACGTCAACAGCACCTGCCAGCACTGGAAACACCTCCGAGACGCTGATCTGACAGTGGAGGATATGCAGAAGCCCAGAATGCTCATCGGGCAGGACAATTGTGACCTGATCATGCCCCGAGAGTGGGTCGAGGGACCGCCCGGATCGCCGGTAGCCACGCGGTGCAAGCTAGGCTGGGCAATCCACGGCAGAGTCGATGATCTCAGCACCGAAAACGCACACAGCAGCCTGTCAGCGCAAATCAAAGATGGCTGCTTCGATAACGACCTACATCTGCTCGTCAAGTCTTTCTTCACCACAGACTCGTTTGGTGTCAAGGTCACCAGCACTAAGATCCGGTCCCGACAGGAAGCGCGAGCTGAGAGGATCATGGACTCGACCACCAGACGAGTCGAAGACCGCTGGGAAACCGGACTCCTGTGGAGAGAGAGTGGCATACTCCTACCAGAGAGCAAGCCCATGGCCCTCCGGCGGCTGTTCTCCATCGAGCGAAAGATGGACAGGGATCAAGTCTTCGCTGACGCGTACTGCAGTAAGATCGAACAGTACCTGGCTGCCGGTTATGCCTTCAAGCTGACACCAGAAGAGGAGACAGCATTCCACGAGCGCAAGTGGTACCAGCCGCACTTTGGTGTCACGAACCCGAACAAATCAGGGAAGCTGCGACTAGTCTTCGACGCGGCAGCCTCAAGCAACGGCGTGAGCCTAAACGACGCCCTGGTTCCGGGTCCGGATCTGCTGAATTCTCTCACCGGCGTTCTATTCAAGTTCAGGGAGCACCGTATTGCCTTCGGCGGCGATATACAGCAGATGTTCCACCAGGTACAGATTCGGGAAGAAGATCAACCATCCCAACGCTTCCTTTGGCGAGGCATGAAACGTGACAGAGAGCCGGACGCGTACCAAATGAAGGCGATGACGTTCGGAGCGGTATGCTCGCCTGCCTCGGCCCAGTTCGTGATGCGGAGGAATGCTGAGGAGTTCAGGGACAACCACGAAGAAGCTGTCTACGCAATCAACCGCAAGCACTACATGGACGACTACTTCGATTCAACGCCAACAGTGGAGACAGCTGTCGCCAGAGCGCTTCAAGTCGTCAAGATCCACAAAGCCGGCGGGTTCACCATTCGTAGCTGGGTAAGCAACTCGTCAGAGGTCCTAGCAAGCGTGCCACCCGAGCTCAGGTCCGACAGCGCTCTCACGATCGACAGCGGTGAAACGGCCACCCCGACCGAGAAGACCCTTGGCCTCAAATGGATGCCGCGGGAGGACATCTTCAGCTTCAAGCTAAGTGCACGACTGGTGACACAAGAAGCAGAAGTGACGCAGCCGACAAAGCGACATGTGCTACGCATGTGCATGTCAGTATTTGATCCGCTTGGCTACCTGGCATTTCACACGGTATCGGCAAAGGTACCTCTCCAGCGAATATGGCGCACCGGAGTCAGCTGGGACCAGCCGCTACCGGATGACCTCGTGACATGCTGGAAAGAGTGGTGGCAAATGCTACTCAAGCTGAGCGAGCTGTCTGTGCCACGCCCCTACAGTGAAGATATGACCAAGAGAGCCCAAGTTCAACTTCACGTCTTTGGAGACGCCAGCGAGTCGGCCTTTGCGGCTGCAGCCTACCTCAGAGTCACCTTCGCCGACGGGAGTGCCCAGGTCGCTTTCGTGCTGGGAAAAGGAGGAGGTGGCTGCGTGAATACCTGCCGCCGTTGACGAGAAGGACGAAGTGGCATCAGCGACAGCAGAAAGAGGTCAAGGTCAATGACATAGTCGTGATTGCCGACAGAGACCTACCCAGAGGCAGCTGGCCGAAAGGTACCATTACGGCCGTCTATCCCGGCACCGATGGACATGTCAGAGTGGCCGACGTCAAGACAGCGTCCGGGACATACCGCAGGCCGGTGTCAAAGATCTGTGTGCTGGACGTTCTGAATGAGGGTGACGCTTGAAGACGTCACCGGGGGGAGGATGTTGGTACGACCAAGTCACCCCACAGATCTCCACTAGTAACTTGCTCAGTTTAGACCAAGACATGAATAACCTTGGGTAGTAGTAAACCTAGGTGCTGTTGTGCACATGTCTGTACTGTTTCCTGGCCCTCAGTTACCTCAGCCTGCTCATGACTACTGTGTGTTGTGTCTTGTTGATGTCCCTATTCATAACTGCTGCATGCATTCATTGCTAGTTCCATGCATAGTTCTTTGTCCTACTGTGGCGGGAAGGTCGTCTCGTGCAGCCGCAATGATCAGCTGCGCTATGGAGGTTCAGTTCCGGCAAACATGCGTGTGGATTTGCATTTTGCTGCTTGATTTTGATGTATTTGGGGGCAGTGCAAGGAAAGAGCTTGCTGGTGCAGTTGTTGTGTGCTTTGTCTTTGGCTGTTTCTGTTACTACCAGGTAGTAGCTAGCCTTTTGAAGTATTGCAATCAGTTTGCAATGGATACAGTCTTCTCCTAGTGATAATATTCTATAAACCTCAGACTCTGTGTTGTGAGTGAGAATACCGGCGCAAACAACCAGGGCGTCGGAACCGCACCGGCCGCGGCGGCCATGGCCGCCCCACTTTTTCGGCCTTTTTTATTTTTTTAGCACACTGCAACAAAGCGCGATGATCTCAGCGCGAACGTGGCAAATCCTTGTCCCCTATCGTGGTTTGTTGCAGAATCAAAAGTCCATGTACACTGAAATGGCACCAAATGCCTGGGAATGCTTGCAATTGGCTTCAATTTTTGAATTTTTTTCCCGGGGGAGGGTAATGTTTGTCCCCGATCGTAGCATCTTCTTGGTTTTTTTGCAGAATCAAAAAGTCTTTCATTGTAGTTACCGTACACTGAAATGGCACCAGATGCCCGGAAATGCTTGCAATTGGCTTTAATTTTTGAAATTTTTTCCCGGGGGAGGACCCCATGGCCGCCCCACCTCCAAAGTCCTTCCGACGCGCCTGCACTACACAGTGTTTCGGGGAATTCACACCTCATCAGTTGAGATTGAGTAGGCTGAGGAAGATTGTGCCTGAAAAGCACCACTTACATTGTATATTGCTCTCCAGTCACACACATCACCAGGGATACAAACTACTTACAGAGACGCTCCGTTTCCAGCGCGACAAACACACACCTCGTGTACACCAGATAGCAGTGTGAGTCAGTGTCGCTCATGGAGGTGCTGAACAAGCGCTGAGGACCGTTGGCCATTCACAACGTTGTTGCCTCCAAACCATATAATTCGCAAGCCCGCGCTGGGGACAACAATGTGGAGAAGAGGTTTGTTCGACTTCGGCGATAGTTGGGGAAGTGTGTGTTGCTCCCTACATGGGAGCTCGCGGTTTTCCTACCGACTTGAATTCTCACTTGACTGGCTCACGAGTCGAGGGGTTCACCGCATAGAATGGTTGAGGTATGACAAAGGAAAGAGGCAACGATTGTGTGTGTGGGGGGGGGGGGGGGCGAGTTTCGAACTATGCACAGTGAAGGGATAATTGTATGTACATGACCAAGGATAGGGTGTACCGGACAAAGTTGCCATTTTTGGGAGCAATGGATTGGGAAGTATAACAGTTTTGTGGTAATGAGTGCAACATCATAAGAATTAGTTATAAAGGTTAAAAGGAAGCGATGACTGTTACAAGTACTTTTCTCAGTGTCAGTAGATGTTTTCTTCATACATGTAGTTCACTGACAAACCCAAGGTACGGGACGTAACCATGGTAATGAAGAAGACTCGCGAGCAAAGGCGACGGAGGTGTGAACCACGAAGGCGTCTTCTCCAGGAAAACGACCATCGCCGCGGCATCCAGTGTCATTAGAGAGGTTCCGCACTACGTAAAGTTGAGCAACTTTACGTTAGTGGGCGGGGAAAACCCGTGAATTCGCGAGTTTGCACTCCACTTACGGAAAGTTGTCTACGGAGAGTACGTAGATAGGGCTCTGATAACGTAGCTGGTCCGTAAGTGGATTGGGGTACAAATTTATGACTTTCTTCCCAGGTCGATCTGGTCGTACACTGCCGCGTTCGGAGTTGCCAAGGGCAGCTACGTGATTTGAAAACTCCGTATGGCGGAACACAGATGCGCATGCAGTTTACGTAAGACTTTCCGTAGATCGACTACGTTTTTTACTAACGTAATTACGTTAATTATGCGGAACCTCTCTAATGTTTTCGGGCAGTGCAAGTAGTTGTTGTGGCTGATGATGTATTCTCTGTTTTGTCACGTGGTAGGTCTATGTGTGGTCATGCAGTCGTATTTATTCAGCTTTTATTTCTTGTGTACTTGCATACTGGTATTCGTTTAGTCCCACAACCTGCGATAAAATGATCAGCTGTAGCACCTACTCCACTTTTATGTTTATGACATACTGTATTTTTGTATTGACTTATTTGAATTCGGAATCTCAACAGTACAATGTACAATTACTTGGGAAGATCCGAATGACATAGATACATTGTATCTATGTCATTCGGATCTTCCCAAGTAATTGTACATTGTACTGTTGAGATTCCGAATTCAAATAAGTCAATACAAAAATACAGTATGTTGCATCTTGCCGTGCTACAAATAGTACAAGCCTTTACATGCTTAGACGTAGATCTTCGCTGCATCCTGAACTTCAGCAGTACTTTGAGATCTGAAGAGTGAAGGAGAATGTGTTGTCTTTACAGCTGTTTGGCAGCCTCAGTACATGTATTGGTGGAGAAGGTGTGAAATAAATTCTTTGATCTCTTGATTTGATGCAATTTTATAACATTTTTGTCACCCTTTACTTTTCATGCTGTTTTGACTCTTCACCTAGACTTCTTTCTTCGTGTTATTTCTCCACTTCCCAGTGTTGAATCTTTCAATCCTAACTCTTAGAACCCTATATCTGTATAGTTGTAGTACTTATCATAAGTTTTGTTATTGCTGCTTACAATGTCCACTTCGATAATTCTGCTGATTCCCGAACATTCGTTTGACCCAGGACTCACTAGCTGCATACGCAGCTTCCGCGGAGCAATAAAAAAACCTTCCGATTCGGACCGGAAGGCGGAACGACACCATGGCACCAGTCGTCGAGTCATAGGCAACGAGTACGCTTCACAACGGTGCGTCACCTATTCTTCAATACGTTGCAGAACACCAACAGCCACTCTCCGGGGCTTGTAATAGCGTGGATTGGGACTATCTTGTCGTTGCGTTGACTCTATCCGTATCCCCCGGACCAGAACTCGTTGCTGTTCTCTGGACAAGCCAGTCAACCCATTTGTTTTGGCTACCATTGTGGACGAAAAGTACAGCCAAGTTCCAGAGAATAGGTCGGCTGGTTGACACTGCCTTAGTTGTCACCAACTCTCAGTTCGGAATGTCTTCCTCACGGAACACGTCAGAAGCAGAAGGCCACCAAGGGATGACGGGAGCTCAACTACCCAGCTACACGATGGAGTATTTTCCGCCGTTGGACTCACAAGGTCCACAGCCGGCTACTGTGCAGGGTAAGTGACGAAAGTCGAACGTTTTGCAACCTGTATGCTCTGTAAATAATGTCTTGGGATTTTATGTGTTTCCAGTATCGGATAAAAACTTGAGAATATTATCCTGCTAGACATGGCTACTGCACCGATATAATTATTTTGTTTGTAAATTGTCTAGTTCTGGCTCTCTAGCCTGCATGGGACTGCATGGTGTGTGTGTATGTGTATGTGGTTGTGTGTGTGTGTGTGTGTGTGTGTGTGTGTGTGTGTGTGTGTGTGTCCCATATGGTGCAGTGGTATGTGCAGCGATTTCCAATCGATAGGTTGCGGGTTCGATTCCCGACGATTATGGTCACACACGTCTTTCTTCTCTTTCTCAGACTCTTCCTGACTTTTCTTTCATTCTCCTGGGTGGTTACCAACAGCCAGTGTATGCCGGAGTATGTGGTGTGGTGTGTGTGTGTATAAAAAGAAAAAAGAAAGAAAAAAAAATGGAAAAATGAAAAATAGGGATTCACTGGCCAGAAAAAGTCACTTCAAACAGCTGTGTGGTGGATACCAGGCTAAAAATAGTGGCGGTCAATTCATCAGCCTTGCAAGCTGTTGAATGGTGTAATCCCAGCACAAGTTGCTATGTCTAACATAGCTGTTCGCTATCATCGCTCCCGCGATGGGCATGTCTGAGGTGAGGTCTGAGGTGTGTGTGTGTGTGTGTATGTGGTTGTGTGTGGTTGTGTGTGTGTGTGTGTGTGTGTGTGTGTGGTTGTGTGTGTGTGTGTGTGTGTGTGTGTGTGTGTGTGTGTGTGTGTGTGTGTATGTGTATGTGGTTGCGTGTGTGTGTGTGTGTGTATGTGGTTGTGTGTGGTTGTGTGTGTGTGTGGTTGTGTGGTTGTGTGTGTGTGTGTGTGTGTGTGTGTGTGTGTGTGTGTGTGTGTGTGTGTGTGTGTGTGTGTGTGTGTGAAATGGGCTGTGAATCACGGCATGGAATTGTCTAAGTCAGTGAGTAGAAGCTGTCGAAAACAGACACTACATCTAATCCCCGTCTGGCCAAGACAGTGTAAATGTTTATCTAGCCTGTTAGAATGGACTGGGATGGAGAGCCAAGGATCAATTTATATTATTTTATACCAAGGAAATGGACCAAGGAACTACAAGTTAAATTAGCATGTTGTAGCTCAACATATGATATGTTAGATTAACGGTCGTAATATTATGGTCTCAGGTATGTGGTTTGACTACAGTCAAACCTCGTTAGGGCGAACACTGATAAGACAAACTTTCCATTAGTACGAACTAGGGCCAATCCTATGGTTGGCCAGGCATCATATCCAGTCAAAATTATCCGTTTACGACGAACTCCTGTATGGCGAACTTTCGCGAAGACGAACTATTTTCAAGTGTGATTTGGATAAAATCAGCGCGTAGTACGAACTTTGGGTGTGTGCGCGTGCGCTGGCTGTCTTTTTTTCTTTCTTTTTTCGATAGCCGGGTCCATACATTGATTGTACGTACATGTACATAGATCTACGTAGTGAATCGTAGTAGACGCACTGACATGCGTGCTTTCTAGGCCAAGCTTCAGCGTACACTGTTCGCGTCGTTGATCGAGTTCTGAAGTGTTTTGTGAAGCAAAGAGCGTTGATCCGTAGAGGCAAGAGTACATAAACCAGAGTGTGCAACTCGGGATGGTTCCTGTGGGAGCGTAATTCGTGCACTACGTCATTTCTGACAGCATGGTAAGCCACAGGTAAGGTGAAAAGTTGCGTAACCAGTCGCGGTGATGCAGGTCACTGAGTTTGTCCTGATTTCGGTTTTTTGATATGGCTAGCCTGGTGACTTTACTTGTCGGTGGATGTACGCAGCGTACACAGTCACACAAAACACCGAAATACTGAAACTGGACGTCTAAAATCAAGCCAACTTGGCTGATTTCCGGGCTATGAAACATGAAAATTTGAGCTGTACGCAAGTCGTGGCTTGGCTGACCTCATCAGGGTGACGTAGTGCACGAACTGCGCTGTTTCAGATCTGATATGCATAGTTGCACACTCTGGTTTATGTACTCTTGGTAGAGGGTAGTGGTGTTCTTGCGGATGCGGAAAACTCAGCCTCCACTGGCTCCGACCGAGTCTCACACGAACCGTGAACTGTGTTTGTAAAGTATGGATATGCATATCGATTTTTTTGTCACATCTGGATAAGAAGAACTCCCGATAAGACAAACAAATTTGTTCAGCCCCTTGAAGTTCGTCCTAACGAGGTTTGACTGTACTTTGTGGTGGGTGTGATCTAGACACCTCCCACCGCTTTAGGAGCTGCATCTGTGCCTTGATCCTAGAGGGTGGTGGGCGTTCCTGCGGATGCCGAGAACTCGACCTCCAGCCGAGGGTCAGAGAAACGGAAATATTTATATGAAATTTTACACACACTTGAGAGGGACGAAAAGCGTTCCTTCTGTAACTCTGAGTTTCACCGTTTTAACCGATCATATGAAATTTTATATGTTTTATGTGGTGCTGCTTGAGTGGTGGAGGCGTGTGTGCAGTTAGCGAATGCTAGTTGCACTACTGATGCCTGTACAACGTAATCCATTTCAAGGTTGGTCAATATTGCATGAAACTAAATCAGCAGGAAAGCCCAACCATTGCGCGAAATCACGCGACACCTGTACATTTTCGATCTGCGGGATGAAGATGACGACGTCCATGCATCAGGTATCAGGGGGTAGTAAGATACTGGTATATTACTACTCCACGCCTCAAATTGTGCTGTCAAGCGTATGCGGGGGAGTGTAGCATGCCATCCCTTACACTTTCCAGCTCAGGGTTACCCTCGCTACCAATGGACGAAATTTCAGGGTCACAGCTTGCGCAACGGCTTTGTCCTGTTCGAATGGCCACTCGACATACTCAGCACAAATTTTCTATTGCATGCATGCACAAAATGTTCAACTTTCGTATTTTTGGCGACTTTACCACCGTCGTGGAGGCTGGTTGGTGAGGAGCAGGTAGCCATCCCTTGTGGAATCAAACACATGGTTCCACAGTGTGGCTGATTCCGCAAGAGCCAGGTCCATACGAGAAACATTCGCTTTGTCTTTTGCCATCGAAGTAAGTCACTTTCCTTGTTCTCAGTGTTTTTTACGTTCAACGTTTCTGAGATTTTTGAATTACAGTCAAATCTGTCGTAAGCGACCGCCCCTTGGTGCAAGAAAAAGCGGTCGCTTACGGCAGATGGTCTCTTACGGCAGATGTATGGTAAATCCGGCATACCAGGTATATGCTTCCATGTACTCAAATCGACGAGAATAATGTGATTTTTTATATCATTTTATTGGATATTCAACGACGACCATACCCGTATAGTACGCGTATGCGACACGGCAGTAGATCGACACTGCCTGGACTTGAGAGCTACAGCACAGCCTCAGTACAGGCCAGGCGCCAGTCGATCGCACTTGCAAGACAGCGCATTTTCACACTTTGCAGTTGACAGCGCACTGGCAAGTACAGTTTCGCACCTTACTGAACCTGGGTCGCGGTCGCTTACAGCAGATTCGAATGCAGCCACCGTGCATGAAATCGCGGTCGCTGGTCGCGCACAGCAGATGGTCGCTCTGGACAGATCAGTTTGTATGTGAAACCGTCGGTGCACGGAAAATCGGTCGCTAACGGTAGATGGTCGCCTACAGCAGAGGTCGCTAACGGCAGATTTGACTGTATTCACTTTTCATTCTTTCATACTTTATTTCTTCATGTTCACTGCCTCACTTGCCTTCTGATCTGGAGAATGTGATGGAGGTGACTGTTGGTTACTGCCTGGTATAACGGTTGTCGTGCTGTTGCTGTATTTCCGTCCTGGTCGCGACGTTGTAGATCACAAACAATTTGAAATCACATGAATTGTACTTACCGTCGTGCGTGCGGTATTAGGAAACACTGTGCAGATTAGATCGTCGCAATGTATCTATATGTGTGTCTGGTCATCCTGTACCACGCAAGAACTCCAACCAGACGCATTCGTCCTCGGCCCTGTTGATCGATTGTCCACTCGTCTTTCCTTGAAGAACGATCGATCAAAAAAATCGAGCTCGAGGACTTTTTGCAAAAAAACGGCTGAAAAAAGGAAGAAAAAAGGGTGCTCAGAATGAGATTCGAGTACACAACCATGGTCCCAGCAGTTTATGTGGATGTCGCTCATAGATGCGCGATTTCGCGCAATGCAGCCTTGTATAAGGATTTAGTGAGCAGTTCCCCTTCCCAATCTATGTTTTCATATAACTTAGAACCTTCCAATTTGGAAGGCTGTTGGAATGCGCATCCGAGGCGTGCTAGAGCTGATAACCAGGTAGTTGTAGAACGTCAGTACCATCGGTCATTGTCGTGCAAAGTTATCGCAGGAGCGCATTGTTTAGTAACTGGTGGTGTTAGTGGACAATATAGTGTAACTAAGTTCCTTGGTACTTTTTCCTTTCTATAAAATTAAAAAAAGAATTTGTCAGTGAATTTTTGGTATGTTCTTGGCTGTGTATAACCGATCGAAAATGAAGATCTAGTTTTCCTCGCAGTATGACTTTGAATTTGTAATTCAGCTTTATGTATACAGTCGGGCAGTAAGTTTGACTATAGGGTGGAATATAGGTGTATATGATGAGAAGTACAGTTAGTTTGTCACTCATGGTAGGATTCTTAGGCTTAGCGAATCTTTGATGGGGAAACTGGGCTGAACAACGATAGGCATGGTAAAATGTCCACTATCCGACCTACACTTTAATCTGATGTAGCAGCTAGCGGAATGTACATGTACATACTAGGGTGTCAGACCTCAGCAACTTCGCATGGCCAGTTACTATATCGGACCTTGACAGCCATTTAGAAAGAGGTCCTTGGCTACTTCAGAGAGCAGTGTGTACATGTACATTGTACATTCTGCTTCAACGGTATCTGTATGACACGTGTGTGCGTGCGTGCATGCATGTTGGTGTGTGCTTGCATGTATGTGTGTATATGTTCACGTGTGTGCGCGTGCGTGTGTGTGTGTGTGTGTGTGTGTGTGTGTGTGTGTGTGTGTGGTTTGCCCGTGTGTGTGCATGATATGTGTGTGTGTGTGTCTGTGTGCGAGTGCAGGTACCATTAATTTGATAAGTCTGTGCTGAGGGACAACTTACTATTGTAAACTTAACACACATTTACGGGGCAGGACCACTTCAGTCAGTGTTTTCAAGTATCAAACAATTGCTATCATTATCTTATTTACATATTGTCAATTTCTGCTTTGTTCTGAAACACAGCATTCGATGGGACACATCAACAGGTACAGACAGGGCTGCAAGCTGCAGGGACATATGTCACTCCAGTACAGCCTCATCCCAACAATAGCTTAACTCAGCCTATTGCGAACCAACCGCAGCCTGTTGATCAGCAGCACAGCCATATTGGACAACCGGTCAACACGGGTGGCTTCAGAGAGACTAGCAGTAGTATTGAGGGACTTCAACGATCATCAATAGTGGAGTCAGCAATGAGTCTCCCACCACATCCTCAACCAACCATTGGTCTTATGTCATCACCAGCCCAAATTGCGAGTCCTGACAGCCAGCAAATGAATCACCACGTCCATGCCACTGCTACCAGTGGTAATCAGACATTAGCAGCATACCTGCCATATAGTGTCCCAGCAATGCACGGCAGTATGGCCAGCTCTAACAATCCTGTGGAAATGCACGCCGGCTTTCCACAGACCCCACTGAACAATCTATCACAAGGCGTCGAGTATCAATCGGACAACCCCTCTGCCCCTCCACTGTTTGGCGGACATCCCAGAAATCTGTGCGAATGGCGTGTAAACAACGGTCTACAATTGTGTGGGTTGGCTTTCTATAGTGTCACCGAACTAGCGCAGCACATAACAAACGTTCATCTCCAGCAACAGGGCACTACCGAACATCCCACACAGGAGGGTAGCAATGTCTACATCTGCCACTGGGACCAGTGTACACGCACCAAAGGATTCAAATTCAAATATAAGCTTGTTAACCATATACGAGTTCATACAGGTGAAAAACCCTTTGTCTGCAATCATCAAGACTGCACACGCAAAGCATTCGCAAGACCTGACAACCTGAAGATACACTACAGAGTCCACACAAAGGAAAAGCCGTTTCCCTGCACCTTCCCGGACTGTAAGAAAAGATTCGGAAATTCCTCGGATCGAAAGCAGCACATGGTCGTGCACACGAATGATAAACCCTACCGATGCAGGGCAGCAGGATGTACGAAGAGATATACACAACGGAGCTCGCTTAAAAAGCACTCCAAGATGCATAATGCTCGAAATGCAGCCAATGGCGGTAATGCTCTTTCCTACAGTACCACGAACACCAGCGCAGAGAACAGTGGCTTGACGTCTGCGGATGGTTCTATTGCTGCGGACGGAGAAAGTGATCATGGCACTTCGATTTCATCTGATGAGGTACTTGCAGACCAGCACCACCACCATCAACAACAACAGGAAGAACAGCAGCAGCAGCACCAACATCAACAACACCATTTTGCACTTGTGACTTGCACGGACCAGTGTCAGCCTGCACAGCCGCAACACTTACCGCTGGGAACGTCCTCAAGCATGCGGACTGTGAATTCAGCATCCACCTCATCTTTGCCTCAGTTACCTTATCATTTGCCCTCTGCCCAGGCAACTGCTAGTAGTGATCTGGTCAACAGTGTACTGCCAACACCACCTGGACAGCCGTCTGGTAGCTATGCCGTGTTCAGTGGAGTATGCCATGACAATGCCGGAAAGGGTGACCTAGTAGTGGCAAGCCTAGGCAGTGGAGCAACAAGAAATGATCCCTTGTCTACATGTTCCATACAGACATTCCCACAGCCGCCGCCGCCACCACAGCCAGAAGCAGCAGCTGTGCCAGAACTGACTCAAAACAAACAGCTTGTTCAGCAGCAACATACTCACTTCCAATACCCGGCAGCACGTCAGCAGTTGCAGCAACAACTTCATCATCAACATCTAGAACAGCACCTCCAGAAGCAGGATCATCATCAGCATCAGTATCAGCATCAGCAGCAGCAGCATCAGCAGCACCAGGAATCACATGACCAATGTCAGCAGTCGCAAATCTATCCAACTCACCACCATCAGCTGCCGACGCCCACACACACAGAGCAGCAACAGCTATCGCTGGTGGCTCACACACCGCAGCACCAGTCATCACCTGTGTCTCAGAAGCACAACCATCAGGCACAGCAGCAGTCTACATCACAACAGGAACGTGCACAGGAACCCTTGCCTCAGCATCAGCAACAGCAGCGCACTCCCATCGCATATGCAGCTGCACCAGCATTTTCCACAGCATTCGACAACTGCTCAGCCAACACTGTTTCATGCAGGACATTTGCTGCACTCTGTACTACCCTCGCATGACGCTCACTCTCTGTCAGCACAAAGACACCTCCCAAAAAGGCAATTTTTAGCAAACACACCTTACACGGCTTGAAAACACTGTTCTCATGAGCTGAACAACAGCCTTTTCAACATGGCACTGCAGCCAGCTTCGTGAATGGATGTGTTAAAAACTGTCTATAAGGTCTTTAATGCACATCATCACTGTCACCCAAACAATTTTGTTATTATTATCAAGATCCAGCTAACTCCTTAGTTTTACGGAGTTGACGATTTTTTTATTATATCTAATTCAAAAAGAGGTATAAAGTGTACAGCTGCAAGTTTAATACTCGCTGTGCATAGCTTTTGTGATATTGAATGATCGTATCAACGCTGAATGTTTTTAAGGTTATTTCATTATAGATGGAGCTGGGATGTTGCTCATTAGGCTGTGGAACTAGTCAATCAGACGACTGTCACATTTGTAGAAGTTCCTTTTTCAAATGTCTCGTCAATTTCATTTTCCGCATGTTGTCTCCACTAACATTACCCATGATGCTGGCCACATGTATGTAGCGTCAGTAGAATTGCAGCTCAACATCCTAATCCGCACTTCAGTCTTGTTTCTACCCACTCACTGTCAGGATCGGGTATTTCCCCTCCAATTAGTAACCATAGTACCCGTTTCTTTTTAGTTCACTTTTTCGGCTGATCTGCTCATCCCGCAGAAATGTGTCAATACTAATGCTGGCCTAACAGATTCTACAACTGCTGAAGGAAGTCGTGTCTTAGGCACTGAGTCTTCAACACTCATATCTTATCTGTTTTCAAAATAATGAGAAGGTGTCTTCCTCTTATTCGAATGGTAATTTGTGTGGGAATACTTGAAGTACACACGTGCAAACAAAGCACAGAAAACAATACTCGATAATGACGTATTCGTCGGCAAAATCGTAAGAAAGTAACTAGTAGCAGTGCTGCCAAACTGTCCGATTTTTCGGACAGTATCCGATTTTTGAAGGCTCTTCCGAAAACCGGTCCGAAAAGGGAAAGGTCCGAAAAGCAGCCAAAATGTCCGAGATCATTACTTTCCTATGCAGAAGTCCTGTACTTTCACTTTTCAGCGCAACTGAAGGCACACATCACTGTACATTTGCTTCTAAAAAGGCTAGCGCTTGGCTGTGGAAGTGCAAAGTAACATGCCTGGATCAGGCTGAATGGCATGTACACTGACAATCTGTACAGAGTCAGTGTGCGACCACACTCATCATTACAAAATTCATGACAAATCTGGGGTTACCATGGCAACGGAGCGATTTTTCATGGTGTGCCGAGGAGAAAAATTCGCACCATGTGGCCACTGGCCAGCCTTGGCGGTGAAGGGTGTCCGATTTTGGGCGAAAATTATTTGGCAGCACTGAACTAGAGACGTTTCTTTTGAAGTCTTTCTTGGCTAGACTGATAAAGCACGAGAGAGAATGTTAGTGGTACTATGCCTTGCATATTCCAGTACATCATGTATGCATGTTCCATTTGTAGTTATAATTACAAGATGGTGGAAAAAGCTAGGTGTCTGGAGATTTAGTAGTTTATAACTACAATCATGTTGTCATGCTCCTACCTCCGAAAGGATGTTTAATTGTGCTTCAAATTTTCAACCACCAAATTATGCCAATAATTATGCCGGCATAATCCGCCTGTGCCTATCCATGGTCACCGATCTGGGCGAGACTGGTGTGTACGTCGTGGTGGGAAGTAAGTACAGTACAAGTGTGCTGTGTTGATAAGCGAGTAACGCCAGTGCGACCGGACGTCTCACATTGATAACTGCGGAAATTCCTCAACTGGTGGCAAAAGCTGCATTGAGCCCTGGGCTTCTTTCAGTGCGACGACGTGATCAGGGTTCCAGTTCCAGCGCCAAGTTTCAACGTGTTGCTAGGGTGTTAGTGCTTGTGGTGGGTATGAAAAGTAAGTTTGCTGAAATTGCATCCATTTGTTTCAGAAAAAGCTCAAAAGTTCCTAATACATGTACCGCAACCCAAAATGAGCGAGTTCTGGTGCATAATGATGCCAAAAATAACCACAAATGGAGCGGAAATAGACAACACTGTGGCACAGCACAACTGCGTGAGTTATAGGGAAATGAACAGACTTGGAATGAGTCATTGTCCATATTGCTAAACCTTAGCACAGCATTCATGACATAGCGGCATGCTCAGGGCTGCCACATACATGTACATGATTGTACATGTGCATGTACAGTAAGATCAGGCGTAGAAGTCACTTCGGCAAAGAACACTTTTTTTAACTGAATACCACAGAACCATCAGACTTACATGACTTAGGCTGGAAAATGGGCAAATACAGGCTAGATATTTTGCAGATTTTTGTAAGAACGCACGTACCATTTTCTGCATGTTTTCCAAGTCGTGTAATCGCATTGTATGGTGCTCTCCATGATCGTGGAATACGAACAAAACGACTAACGCTGTTCAACATTTTAGAAAAATTCTAGGCTGTGCCTTGAGCTCATGAGTTCTTTGGGGGCCCGATCTTACTGTTCTTCGTGAAGTACACTTGTCATGATGATTTGATGCTTAGCGATTCTTGTTGAAGCGGAGCACACTACTGAAGAATATTTTTCTTATTGTCCGCAAACATCCAACGCAGCCACTTACACATTTCTGAAACGTCACTGCTCAACTTCAATAACTCACATATTCACACCACTATGACTGTTACCTTTCTCATCAGTGTCATTAGATGTTTTCGTCATACATGTAGTTCACTGACAAACCCAAGGTACGGGGACGTAACCATGGTAATGAAGAAGACTCGCGAGCAAAGGTGACTGAGGTGTGAACCACGAATGGGGTCTTCTTCAGGAGACCGATCATCGTCCCGACATCCTATCCGGTGTCATTTTTCGGGCAGTGCTAGTTGTTGTGACTGACGATGTATTCTCCGTTTTGTCACGTAGTAGGTCTATGTTGCATCTTGCCGTGCTAGAACTTAGAAGCTTTTTACATTCTTAGACGTAGATCTACGCTGGATCCTGAACTAATACTTTGTGTTCTGAAGAGTGAAGGAGAATGTGTTGTCTTTACAGCTGTTTGCCAGCCTTAGTACATGTATTGGTGACGAAGGTGTGAAATAAATTCTTTGATCTCTTGATTTGATGCAATTTTACAACATTTTTGCCACCCTTTAGTTTTCATGCTGTTTTGACTCTTCACCTAGACTTCTTTCTTCGTGTTATTTCTACACTTTATTGTAGTGTTGAATCTTTCAATCCTAACTCTTTGAATCCTATATCTTTATGGTGGTAGAACTTATATTATATCATAAGTTTTGATATTGCTGTTTACAATGTCCGCTTCGATAATTCTGCTGATTCCCGAACATTCGTTTGACCCAGGACACACTAGCTGCATACGTAGCTTCCTCGGAGCAATAAAAAAATCTTCTGACTCGGACCGGAAGGAGGAACGACACGATGGTACCAGTCATCGAGTCATAGGCCACGAGTACGCTTCACAGCGGTGCGTCTCCTATTCTTCTTTACGTTGCAGGACACCAGCAGTCATCCTCCTGTATTGGCGTGGATCAGGACTATCTTGTCGTTGCGTTGTCTCAATCCGTATTCCCCGGACCAGAACTTGCTGCTGTTCTCTGTCAACCCATTTGTTTTGGCTACCATTGTGGGGGAAAAAGTACAGCCAAGTTCCAGAGACTCCGTTGGCTGTTTGACACTGCCCTAGTTGTCACCAACTCTCTGTTCGGAATGTCTTCCTCACGGACCACGTCAGAAGCAGAAGGCTACCGGCGGATGACGGGAGCTGAACTACCCAGCTACACGATGCAGTATTTTCCGCCCTTGGACTCACAAGGTCTACAGCCGGCTACTGTACAGGGTAAGTGACGAAAGTCAAACGTTTTCCAACCTGTATGCTCTGTACATAATGCCTTGGGATTATGTGTTTCCCGTAGGCCTTGACAGATTATGCTGGCATAATTTTTCGCATAATTCCTACCAAAATCGAATAATCGCATAATTCGAGGTAAATACCATACAAATCGCATAAAATTGGAATATTATTATTATTAACTGGTTTGAGGGAAAGAGACAAACGGGAAAAGTCTGAAGAAAAAATTGACTGTCACCACCAGGACTCGAACCAGGGACCTTCGCTTGTAGCCAGCGATGCTCTAACCACTGAGCTATGGTGTAGTCGTCATCCCAGCAGAGGCCGTTCAACATTTTCTCCAGACTTCGTAACTCACACTTCCTATGAATCCACACAGGCGGGTGGGACGCAGCCCTCACTGTAACCCACACACTTCACGTACAAACTAGCACGCGGGGAGCCCCAAGTCATAAAATATTAACTGGTTTGAGGGAAAGATTATTATTATTATTAAAATGGCAATAAATAAGATAAATTGTGCACTCATAACAACAGCAAAAATGAAGAAAGTCAAGTTCCATAACGTTTTCTTGTGACTGTCATCAGTGGAACGCCGTCACATAAAAAACTGATGACAGTCACAAGAAAACGTTATGGAACTTGACTTTCTTCATTTTTGCTGTTGTTATGAGTGCACAATTTATCTTATTTATTGCCATTTTACGACTATTGTCACCTCGTCGATTGTTTAAATTATTATTATTATTATAGACAACACCTCATGGCATGAGAAGAAAATCAGCCAGTACGGGAGATGTGGGTGTTAACCAACCATGGTGAATAAAAGAAGAAAAGTAATGGTCAAGACGGAGAAGCATGGGAGGGACAGGTGATGTTGAATCTAGTGAGCAGATTTAAATGCGTCCAGGGTACTGGCATTGCGCGTAGTAGCGGGCAGCGCAAGCCAAGCAGAGTAAGCAACAAAGAGTGGAGAGCGTACAAGGGAGGACGTTTAGCCAAGGGGAGGGCAATAACCCGTCTGTTCGCATCAAATTCCATACAGTTGTATATGTTCTACAAGTACAAGTAGATGCACCAGGAAGGCGTAGGTTTACGACTCCCTTGATAACATGTCCAGTCCACTACAATCAGTGACCAGGGTGACGGTCGTAGCTAGGTCGGACGGTGCGTTGACCCCGTTGAATCTTTGCTACTACAGTACAACGCCCTGTACAAAAAAATCACCTGTTGTTTTGCACAGAACCATCATATACATTAGCAGCATATGTGAGCATAATGCGGCATAATATGATACCGTATTTTCCGGGGTATAAGCCGCACCCCCCTTTTTGAGGCAAAATAATGACTAAAAGTTGGTATCCGGAGTATAAGCCACACCCACAAACCAAGATTTTTCACACTCATTGACAAATTGCCTTTCTACAAATCTATTATTATGGTTATGGAGCTAAATACCATGTTAGATCAGATTATGAAAAATAGAGTCCCCGTATACGCGTACCGTATGGTGTAGCCCGCGCACTAAAACTAGTAAAATTGCCAGGATAGCAACACAGGCGCGAAGCTGAGTCGAATGACATGTCACATGGCGTCAGCATGCATACTGATGTATGCCAAGCATTCATTCGCGCAAGCATATTCGGTGTATAAGCCGCAGGGGCGATTTTGGTCCGATTTTTAGCGAAAAAAAGTGCGGCTTATACCCCGGAAAATACGGTAACTTTTAGCATAAAATGGCATAATTCTGCAATTTTCTCAGCAATACGAAAAACATAATTTCACGAAAATATTAGCTAAATCTGTCAAGGCCTAGTTTCCGGTATCGGATAACAACTTGAGAATATTATCCTGCTAGACATGGTTACTGCACCGATATATTATTTGCTTTGTAAATCTAGTTCTGGTAGTCTAGACTGTATGGGACTCCATATGTGTGTTGTGTGTGTGTGTGTGTGTGTGTGTGTGTGTGTTGTGTGTGTGTGTGTCGTGTGTATGTGTGTGTTTGTTTGTGTGTGTGTGTGTGCTAGTTCGGTTGGTGGGTACACTTATGCCAGATAGTGTTGGGCCTGTTGCCAACGGGCTCGGCTGCTTGAAGGTGTATTGTTGTACCTACCACCTTTGTTGGTTTCAGGGTTCATATACTTTCTATTTGAAGTATACATACCTGTTAACCATGGACTGCTTCTGGCTAGATTAACTCTTGTGTAATCAATGGTGCTAGTGAAGCTTATATCAGATCCACTCTGATTTAGCCACCCACACTAGTACCAAGTATTACCTTCACTGGGGGCAGGGGTACCTGCAGTTGGATCCCGGGACGGATACTCTGATGCCGTCAATCCTTTTTCTGCACCTTGTCCTCACCCACTTACTGAGGTGTGGTGAGCCCATAAGTGGGATCATTTCAAGTCCACCCTAGTTTGGGGATTTCAGGGGGTGTCGGCCGTTGGGTGGTTCAATGGCCAATTGAGTCATCTTTCCAAGATTCCTTTTGAGTCTCTCTCCCCTCTCCCGGGGAGACCCACGTGACCAGTTTTGGCAGTGAGCAAGTACAAGTACAAGTATATAATTATGTGTGTGTATGTATGTGTATGTGTATGTGTGTGTGTGTGTGTGTGTGTGAAATAGGCTGTGAATCACGGCATGGAATTGTCTAAGTCAGTCAGTAGAAGCTGTCGAACACAGTCACTACATCTAATCCCCGTCTGGCCAAGCCAGGGTAAATGTTTATCTAGTCTGTTAGAATGGACTGGGATGGAGAGCCAAGGATCAATTTATATCATTTTATAGCAAGGAAATGGACCAAGGAACTACAAGTTAAATTAGTATGTTGTAGCACAACATATGATATGTTAGATTGATGGTCGTAATATGGTCTCAGGAATGTGGCTTGACTACTTTGTGGTGGGTGTGATCTAGACACCTCCCAAAGCTTTAGGAGCTGCATCTGTGCCTTGATGCTAGAGGGTGGTGGGCGTTCCTGCGGATGCCGAGAACTCGACCTCCAGCCGAGGGTCAGGCGAACCGAAAATATTTATATGAAAGTTTACACACACTTGAGAGGGACGAAAAGCGTTTCTTCTGTAACTCTGAGTTTCACAGTTTTAACCGATCATATGAAATTTTATATGTTTTATGTGATGCTGCTCGAGTGGTGGAGGTGTGTGTGCAGTTAGAGAATGCTAGTTGCACTACTGATGCCTGTACAACGTAATCCATTTCAAGGTTGGTCAATATTGCATGAAACTAAATCAGCAGGAAAGCCCAACAGCCTTGTATAAGGATTTAGTGAGCAGTTCCCCTTCCCAATCTATGTTGTCATATAACTTAGAACCTTCCAATTTGGAAGGCTGTTGGAATGCGCATCTGAGGCGTGCTAGAGCTGATAGCCAGTTAGTTGTAGAACGTCAATACCATTGGTCATTGTCGTGCAAAGTTATCGCATGAGTGCATGGTGGTGTTAGTGGACATTATAGTGTAACTAAGTTCCTTGGTACTTTTTCCTTTCTATAAAATTAAAAAAAGAATTTGTCAGTGAATTTTTGGTATGTTCATGGCTGTGTATAACCAATCGAAAATGAAGATCTAATTTTCGTCGCAGTAGGCCTTGATGGATTAAGCTTTTCGCACTGCTGAAAAAATTGCAGAATTATGCTATTTTTATGCTAAAAGTTATCATATTATGCCGCATTATGCTCACATATGCTGCTAATGTATATGATGGTTCTGTGCAAAATACCAGGGGATTTTTTAATAGGGCGTTGTACTGTAGTGGCAAAAGTTCAACGGGGTCAACGCACCGTCCGACCTACAATTGTAACTACGACCATCACTGATTGTAATGGACTGGACATGTTATCAAGGGAGTCGTAAACCTACGACTTCCTGGTGTATCTACTTGTACTTGTAGAACATGTACAACTCTATGGAATTCGGTGCGAACAGGCGGATTATTCCATTATGCATGCGATTCGTATGCAATTTGCCTCGAATTATCCGATTATTCGATTTTGGTAGGAATTATGCGAAAAATTATGCTAGCATAATCCGTCAAGGCCTACCTCGCAGTATGACTTTGAATTTGTAATTCAGCCTTATGTATACAGTCGTGCAGTAAGTTTGACTATAGGGTGGAATATAGTTGTATATAATGAGAAGTACAGTTAGTTTGTCACTCATGGTAGGATTTTAGTCTTAGCGAATCTTTGATGGGAAGACTGGGCTGAACAACGATAGACATGGTACAAAGTCCACAATCCGACCTGCACTTTAATCTGATGTAGCAGCTAGCGGAATGTACATGCACATACTAGGGTGTCAGACCTCAGCAGCTTAGCATGGCCAGTTACTATATCGGACCTTGACAGCCATGTAGAAAGAGGTCCTTGGCTACTTCAGAGAGCAGTGTGTACATGTACATTGTACATTCTGCTTCAACGGTACCTGTATGACACGTGTGTGCGTGTGTGCGTGCATGTTGGTGTGTGCTTGCATGCATGTGTGTATATGTTCACGTGTGTGCGTGTGTGTGTGTGTGTGTGTGTGTGGTTTGCATGTGTGTTTGTGTGCCCGTGTGTGTACATGATATGTGTGTGTGTGTGTGTGTGTGTCTGTGTGCGAGTGCAGGTACCATTAATTTGATAAGTCTGTGCTGAGGGACAACTTACTATTGTAAACTAAACACACATCTACGGGGCAGGACCACTTCAGTCAGTGTTTTCAAGTATCAAACAATCGCTATCTTTAATATCTTATTTGCACATTGTCAATTTCTGCTTTGCTATGTAACACAGCATTCGATGGGACACATCAACAGGTGCAGGCAGGGCTGCAAGCTGCAGGGACATATGTCGGTCCAGTACAGCCTGATTCCAACATTAGCTTGACACAGCCTATTGCGAACCAACCGCAGCCTGTTGATCAGCAGTACAGCCATATTGGACAACCGGTCAACACGGGTGGCTTCAGAGAGACTAGAAGTAGTATTGAGGGACTTCAAAGATCATCAATAGTGGAGTCAGCAATGAGTCTCCCACCACATCCTCAACCAACCATTGGTCTTATGTCATCACCAGCCCAGGTTTCCAGTCCCTTTGGCCAGCAAATGAATCACAACGTCCATGCCACTGCTACCTGTGGTAATCAGACATTAGCAGCATACCTGCCATATAGTGTCCCAGCAATGCACGGCAGTATGGCCAGCTCTAACAATCCTGTGGAAATGCACGCCGGCTTTCCACAGACCCCACTGAACAATCTATCACAAGGCGACGAGTATCAATCGGACAACCCCTCTGCCTCTCCAATATTTGTCGGACAACTCAGAAGTCTGTGCGAATGGCGTGTGAACAACGGTCTACACTTGTGTGGTTTGGCTTTCTATAGTGTCACCGAACTAGCGCAGCACATAACAAACGTTCATCTCCAGCAACAGGGCACTACCGAACATCCCACACAGGAGGGTAGCAATGTCTACATCTGCCACTGGGACCAGTGTACACGCACCAAAGGATTCAAAGCCAAATATAAGCTTGTTAACCATATACGAGTTCATACAGGTGAAAAACCCTTTGTCTGCGATCATCAAGACTGCTCACGCAAAGCATTCGCAAGATCCGAAAGCCTGAAGATACACTACAGAGTCCACACAAAGGAAAAGCCGGTTCCCTGCACCTTCCCGGACTGTAAGAAAAGATTCTCAAGTTGCTCGGATCGAAATAAGCACATGCACGCGCACACGAATGATAAACCCTACCAATGCAAGGCAGCAGGATGTACGAGGAGCTATACACACCCAAGCTCGCTTAGAAAGCACTCCAAGCAGCATGATGCTCGAAATGCAGCCAATGGCGGTAATGCTCTTTCCTACAGTAACACGGACACCAGCGCAGAGAACAGTGGCTTGACGTCTGCGGCTGGTTCTATTGCTGCAGACGGAGAAAGTGATCATGGCAGTTCGATTTCATCCGATGAGGTACTTGCAGACCAGCACCACCACTATCAACAAGAACAGGAAGAACAGCAGCAGCACCAACATCAACAACAAGGTTTTGCACTTGTGACTTGCACGGACCAGTGTCAGCCTGCACAGCCGCAACACTTACCACTGGGAACGTCCTCAAGCATGCTGACTGTGAATTCAGCATCCACGTCATCTCTGCCTCAGTTACCTTATCATTTGCACTCTGCCCAGGCAACTGCTAGTAGTGACCTGGTCAACAGTGCACAACCAACACCACCTGGACAGCCGTCTGATAGCTATGCGGTGTTCAGTGAAGTATGCCATGACAATGCCAGAAAGGGTGACCTAGTAGTGGCAAGCCTAGGCAGTAGAGCAACAAGAAATGATCCTTTGTCTACATGTTCCATACAGACATTCCCACAGCCGCCGCCACCACCACAGCCAGAAGCAGCAGCAGCAACAGAAGCAGCAGCTGTGCAAGAACTGACTCAAAACAAACAGCTTGTTCAGCGGCAACATACTCACTTCCAATACCCGGCAGCACGTCAGCAGTTGCAGCAACAACCTCATCATCAACATCTAGAACAGCAGCTCCAGAAGCAGGATCATCATCAGCATCAGCATCAGCAGCACCAGGAATCACGTGACCAATGTCAGCAGTCCCAAATCTATCCAACTCACCAACATCAGCTGCCGACGCCCACACACACACAGCAGCAACACCTATCGCTGGTGGCTCACACACCGCAGCACCAGTCATCACCTGTGTCTCAGAAGCACAACCATAAGGCACAGGAACCCTTGCCTCAGCATCAGCAGCACTCTCTCCCATCGCCGATGCAGCTGCACCAGCAGCAGCTGCCGCTGCAGCAGCTGCCGCTGCAGCAGCATTTTGCACAGCATTCGACAACTGCTCAGCCACCACTATTTCATGCAGAACAATTGCTGCACCCTGTACTGCCCTCGCATGACGCTCACTCTCTGTCAGCACCAAGACGCCTCCCAAAAAGGCAATACTAAGCAAACACACCTTAAACGGCTTGAAAACACTGTTCTCATGAGTTGAACAACAGCCTTTTCAAAATGGCACTTATTCAAAAAAGAGGTATGAAATGTACAGCTGCAAACTTACTACTCGCTGTGCATAGCTTTTATGATATTGAATTATTGTATCAACGCTGTCCAACACTCAATGTTTTTAAGGTTATTTCATTAGAGATGGAGCTGGGATGTTGCTTTTTAAGCTGTGGAAATAGTCAATCAGACGACTGTCACATTTGTAGAAGTTCCTTTTTCAAATGTCTCGTCAATTTCATTTTCCGCATGTTGTCTTCACTAACATTACCCATGATGCTGGCTACATGTATATAGCGTCAGTAGAATTGCAGCTCAACATCCTAATCCGCACTGCCTTCAGTCTTGTTTCTACCCATTCACTGTCAGGATAGGGTATTTCCCCTCCAATTAGTAACCATAGTAACCGTTTCTTTTTAGTTCACTTTTTCGGCTGATCTGCTCATCCCCCAGAAATGTGTTAATACTAATGCTGGCCTAACAGATTCTACAACTGCTGAACGTATTCTTGTCTTATGCGCTGAGTTTTCAACACTCATAATTATCGTATCTGTTTTCAAAATAATGAGAAGGTGTCTTCCTCTTATTCGAGTGGGAATTTGTGTTGGAGTACTTGAAGTACACACGTGCAAACACAGCACAGAAAACAATACTCGATAATGACGTATTCGTCGGCAAAATCGTGAGAAAGTAGCTAGAGACGCTTCTTTTGAAGTCATTCTTGGCTAGACTGGTAAAGCACGAGACAGAAAGTTAGTGGTACTATGCCTTGCATATTCCAGTACATCATGTATGCATGTTCCATTTTGTAGTTATAATTACAAGATCAGGCCCGTAGCAGCCCCATTTTGGTTGGTCCGGCAAGATCCGACTTCGATGCCCCCCCCCCCCCCCCGAGCCCACACTCATACATATGCCAGTACATCCCCCCTCTCTCTCTCTCTCTCTCTCTCTCTCTCTCTCTCTCTCTCTCTCTCTCTCTCTCTCTCTCTCTCTCTCTCTCTCTCTCTCTCTCTCTCTCTCTCTCTCTCTCTCTCTCTCTCTCTCTCTCTCTCTCTCTCTCTCTCTCTCTCTCTCTCTCTCTCTCTCTCTCTCTCTCTCTCTCTCTCTCTCTCTCTCTCTCTCTCTCTCTCTCTCTCTCTCTCTCTCTCTCTCTCTCTCTCTCTCTCTCTCTCTCTCTCTCTCTCTCTCTCTCTCTCTCTCTCTCTCTCTCTCTCTCTCTCTCTCTCTCTCTCTCTCTCTCTCTCTCTCTCTCTCTCTCTCTCTCTCTCTCTCTCTCTCTCTCTCTCTCTCTCTCTCTCTCTCTCTCTCTCTCTCTCTCTCTCTCTCTCTCTCTCTCTCTCTCTCTCTCTCTCTCTCTCTCTCTCTCTCTCTCTCTCTCTCTCTCTCTCTCTCTCTCTCTCTCTCTCTCTCTCGCTCTCCCTCCCCACCCACTCTTGGTGCGTCTAGGTAGCTATGAAGTCGAGACCCTAGGTCGGCGGAGCTCCCTAAACCTCACCACCACTGCCACGATTCAGGTTGTGCGTGCTTCCCCTAGCTGCATCTCATGTTTGGCATTAAGTGGTCTTTGTAAAAAAAAAAAAAAAAAAAAAAAAAAAAAAAAAAAAAAACATGTACAAAATGTACATGATTGTACTTCGAAGCAGAGAGCCCTACACATACACAACGCTGAGCCTGGGAAACATTGGCCGCCATCCTACTTGCGTCAATGACCACTCAGAGCCATATTGAAGTGTCACAGCATGCCAGCATTATGATAAGATGACTCTCACAAACGATATTCAGCATCGATTAACTCTTTTCATCAATATCTCAATCAATATCTGTACTGATGTGTGATGAGAACTCTCAGCTACTTTTTTTTTGAATGAGTCAAACGTCATGCACAATTTCTGTGCCCGTGTCACCTCCCGGTATGTGTAGGGCTCCCTGCTTCGAAGTACATACATTGTATCAAGAGTACATAACCCCCCGTGTACTCTTGATTGTACATGTACATGCATGTAATCGTGACCATGCAGAGTGACATAGGGCGAGAAAAGGAAGAAGGACGTTCGGCACGAGTCAGGAGAAAGGGCATCAGCATGTTGTGTCCGTCCAAACAGAACTTGTTGAAGCCTATGAAGGCATAGCAACCGTATTTAAATGCATGTGATAAAAGAACCAGAATGGACCTTTGGAGGAGGAGAAAGGATATTGCAATGGAAAATCTTTGGTGCAAACTCTATCTAGAAAGAATTGGAGGAAGAAAATAATCAATACAATCATTTCAGGAAGTACAGTACAGTACAGAGTACAGAGTAGGAACATTCACGGGCATGACTGTCCACATGACCTTCAGCAGGCTCATACTCCTGATGACATGTAGCCTTTGTATACTGTAGGTCTACTACCGGTATACCGGCACTACTATGTACTATCTCTATGCTACTTATTACACACATCCTCATCAATGGTCGAATATTGGTCCGGCAGCTGCCGGACCTGCCGGATAGGGTCCAGCGGATAATGCTCCTAAAATGTTCGTATAATGCTAACCATAATGCTCCAAAAACTGCCTTATAATGCTGATTATAATGCTTCAGCAAGGGATATAATGCTCTTGGTTTGGGACAAAAATGGAAGAAAGTCTGCACATTGTCAAACTTCGAGGAAATTATGCATATCGTCGATCTGCATCTGAAGCTGCCACCTTATCTCCCGAGCTCCACCACTTCTTAGCACTATAAGACATGATCGCTTCTCCATTGACTGCTCTCCATTCCAACTTTGATGCAGGGTTGTGGCAGAATAGTCGGTGTATCAAATCTTTCCCCTAATTATCCATGTAGTGAGAGATGAAACCATTATTGCAGGTAGTGATTCATTGTTGGGATGAAGTTAATCTTGGCAAATAGTATTCCTGCCTGCAGACAAGCTGTCACTGCGTCCACTCTGTGAATACTGTCTTCATCTGAAACACCAGAGGTGAGGCCAGCTCCTGAGATCCGATCTCAGATGAAGAGCCCTCCCATTTGCGGATATCTTGAAAACAAGTGGTCAGAACTTCTTTTGCCACTCTACATCCTTTGCTTGTGCTCTCATCTTCTCCTTGAGATGGTGTGTAGACGTATGGCTTGCCACAATACTCTTCCTTTCTGATAGCATTTGACTGTAGGCCTAGCGTTACAACCGTCCACAACTAACTGTACGTGCTTCATAAGGAAAGTAAGACATGTGCTGCTGAGCAATCGACTTGGTACTGAGTCCATGAGAAATTCTAGTTCTTTTCGAGCCTCCTGAGCTGACTCGGCAAAGGCAGCTCTTTTGGAACGAGCCCTTTCTGTTTATAGCCGCTCCTTCATCCTGGTCCAATTTTAGCAATGCATAAGTCTCTACTTCAGTATCGCTAGAGATGCTATCGCCAGAGCCTCTGGCACAACGAGACACTCTTCTTCGTCTGTTCCATAGCTCTCCATTATTCTGAAAGTAAAAGAAACCTCGTAAATAATTTCTCCGGATTTGTGTCACTTGAACTGCCCTGTGCCTCGGCCTCGGTTGGGCATGCTTCACAAAATGGCTTGTTTACATTTACCTGACCACATCGCTACAATCATAGTGTTTATATGTGGCAATAGTTATGTAGCGTTAGTGTTAAAGGTGTTACGTGTCTACACAATCACAAAATCATGCACCGGTACAATGCATAGTGCTCGAATGCCCGGAAATTGGCAGCCATACCGAAGGGCAATGCCGTCCCGGAAATCACCCTTGGTCAGAGCGAATCCGTCGCGATTCATCGGCCGGCAAGTCAGCCAACTGGACGCTCCTGGCTGGGAGGCCAATTGGCCAGAATAGGAAAGTTCTGCCGGCGCCGCCGCTAGGAAATCAAGCACGGGAAGTCACGGGAAGCAAATTTTTGAGCTCCGCAGTTTTTCAGTCTCTGGCAGCCCGTCGGCGTGGCCAAGAGGACCACTAGCAGTATTAGTTAGTTAGTATCGTGTAGTAGGGCTGACCCACCTCTGGCGGCCATGCCCCCAGCTACAAAGGCCGCCCTCAAGGGGCTCTCAGAGGTCGAGACGAAACTGCTGTGCTCCCTCCCGGGTATCGAGTCGTCTGTGATTGAGGTTATCAAGACCCTGGCGAACTTAGCGTCCGAGTCGGCCGATCGCGAGGATCGCCTCAACAAAAGAATCAATGACCTGTCGCGGCAAGTGTCAGGCCTGACTCAGGAAGTTGTCTCCCTCAAGGAAGCCGCCATTGCCAAGGCAAGTGTTCTCCCAAATGTTCAAGCTTCTCAGCAGAGCCAGCGTACGAAGCGTAGATCTACGAAATCGTCAATAAATCGTACCGGCAGTACCCGCACAGGCCAGGCTGCCGCGTGCACTGCTAGTACGGGTGATCCCCGTAGCGTGGGTGACACTGGCAGTGACCCTGAGCCTGAGGCGTCCAGTGAGGAAGACAGTAATTCTGAGATCATTGGCATTGAGGGCCCCTACAGCAGGAGAGCTAAACATCGCTCCAAGCCAGTCCTGGAGGTCTTAGACGACGACAGCTGGCAACTGGTGTCAGGAGAGCCTCCCAGGTCCAGGAGGGCAGTTTAGTATGTAGGCAATTTAAGCTCAAGCTGCACTGAGGACGGTGCACACTTGCAGCCTCCAGACCACGGAGGCAGGAAGAGTGTCTGCCCACCTAACTGTGGACGCTAAGGACCTCACCCTAGTCACAACTGAGAATTTCTGGCCAAGGCCCCTGTACGCGAGGCCATGGCGATTTTTAGGAACGCACTGAGCTGCAATCCAAATGATGCCCCCCAGCCTAACGCTCCTGCTCACAAATGCCTTAGGACTGCAATCCAAACTTGGTGAGTTCCAGCACACCCTAGACCAAGTCCAACCTGATATCGCCATCATCACAGAAACCAAGCTCACCCCAGAAAGTACTACGCAAGCAGAGCTGACGGTCCCTGGCTATTACTCACTCTTGCGGCGTGACAGGACTCGCCATGGCGGTGGTGTGGCAGTCTGGGTTAAGACTTCCCTAGCTATGCGGGAGCTGGAAACAATCGACGTGCTTGATCAGGAGCTCATCTGGCTAAGCGTCAAGCTGTGCAACGGCCAGTCTGTGGTCATATGTGCAGCTTACCGCCCTGGAACGTGCTCAGACACGGACATCACCATCTTTGACGCCATATCTGCGGGCCTCGAGTCGACAGCGCGCCGAAATTCGCCTGTGATTCTAGCTGGTGACTTTAATGTGCACAACCAAGACTGGCTCCACAGCAGTCGAACGACACGTGCAGGCGAATATGCAGAGGACATGTGCCACATGTATGGTCTTGAGCAGCTCGTCCAGGAGCCAACCCGTGGTCGCAACACCTTGGACCTCGTAATGTCAGATTTACCAGGCAGAATCGTCACGCCTCTGCATCCACCCCTTGGCAAATCCGATCATGTAGTGATAGTTGCACATTTTGATGTGGCACCAACCCCAGACCGTCCGACCAAGCGCACAGTATGGCGGTACCAGCAAGCCGACTGGCCCCGCCTACGCGCCTTCCTGCGCGACTCAGACTGGTCCTTCCTTGCTACTGATGACGTTGACACC